CTGTACACTGCAATGTGCCAATATGATCCATTAGGAGTTCCCACATCCCTACTCAGAAGCCTATGATAAAGTTTCTAAAGAACCAGAGAAAAATCTCAGTGTTTAAGTCTTCCACATGAGCTGTAGGTCGTCTCTCAGTGCGCTTCCTTTGGTGTTCGTGCTTTCACAATGTCACACCGCATTTTAGTACGAATGTGTCATTTTCTTGTGCTATACGTATGGTTGAGTGCACCTACAGGCACACCTATGGCTTCACAACTGTCATGATGTTGTACCTCCAAAAGCACAAAGAAAATTCTATAAGGGCATAGAATGCAAGTTATAAGAACATTATTGATTCTCACAGAAATGCCCACTGTTCCTCTTGGGATTTTTTGAAGTTAATTGTGCAAACAGTTAAAACAACCCTTACTCTCTGCCTTACCCAAATAAGGGTTTTGACTGACACACACTGGCAAATAAAAGAAAAAGAAAAAAAAAGGCTGCCAGGCAAAGCAAGCCTCAATCCTGCCAGCTGCCCCTTAGAATCTAAGTTGTTGCCCCAATGACAGATGGCCACAGAGCTCACGTGGCACTGCAAGAGCAGCTACAGTTTTCGGCCCAATATAATTAAGCCAACCAATTCTCCTTTACCTGCATATGCTGCCCTGAAAGATTAAAGCACCACCACAGCCATATTCTGAGCCATTCAGTGATCCTTGTCTTGAACAAGGATCAGCTGGGAGCACAGGACAATGGGCAACTGAGAGCAACAACTCCCAGTACACCTATTCAGATTTTAGCCTGGGACAAGTTGAGCACTAATGAAAGTCCTGAAAGAAAACAGGTATTGTACTAAAAGAAACCGTGTGGCACACAACTAGAGTACCAACCACAGGAGCCCAAGGAAATAATGTTTAATTCTGTGCTTTGCCACAGATGTGGTTCCATGATAAAGATAAAAAAATTTAATAGTATAATACTGCCAGAAAGGAGGGTGCAGACCTTTTCCCACCAGCTCCCACACACAATACCCAGTGACTGTACAGGTACACAGTCATTAAAATAAAGGAAGGAAGAAGCAAACCACTGCGAAAATCCCTTTTGGTGGCCATTTGCAATCACACTGCTTAAAATATCAGTGAAACTGTGCCTACAGACTTCCCTGGTGACTTTGGGCAAGTTATGCCATTTCTTCACGCTTTCATTTCCCACTGCTGATGTCAGAACACTGGTACATCAGTACATCCCAGGTGTGCAATGACAGCTACAGACATGACTGAAGGCCTGCAAGACACATGAGCTCTGCAATACAAGCATCCAAATTAGCAAAACAAAGGGCACCCTTTACCAGTATCTGAAATTACTCTGGACAATCACAGTGGCTCAGTAACAGATATTTCCCCACTGCAACTCCAATACAAGACCTTCAGGCAGAAGGGAAGGATTAAAGTTGAGTGCACTGATTAGTATTCTTTATACATCACTGAATGCTTGAACAGCTCTTTCCCAAGTAAACTCTTACAAGAGTAAGGATTTCTGTGAAAAGATCAGTAAGTCAGGAACCTTCTGGACTAGAAACTGCTCATTAGTTCTTACTCCACCCACTGCAGTGCTCTTACTAGAAATACTAAAAGAGGAAACAAAGAACCACTGAGTTGTTCCTCTCACTTTAAAAATTAAATATGCACACATATAAACAATCTACTCTTAAAAGAAAAAGAAATCTTATTTAATTTAAACTCTTAAGTTCACTAAGTCTTCTACAGTGACTGTCTCTAAGAGAAATTTTATCTAGATGGAGAGATTTTTGCCAGCTAGGTTTGCAGAAAGGGATACTTAAAAATTGCCTCCATATATACAGTGAAAAATACCTGACAGAGGGGAGGAAGAGGCAAGCTTTTGGAAGAAATATATCACTTATTCTGTTTCAAAAAAACAAAGGAGCAGGGTATTTCTTTTTTTAACTGAGAAAAAAACACAAGCAAGATATCACATTCTTAAACCTTGCTCTTCTAATCCCTTTGCCCTTTCTCACCATATACTGATTTCAAAAGCTAGATGAATTAAAATTCATTTTCTGTAATATATTTGGTCATTTCTGGAGTACTAATGAATTTGGGGAAAAGACAAAATAAGTCCCAGAAATCTTAAGAAAACCTTAACCAGGCTCAAGCAGTTTCCCTAGTCACCATAACAGCATTTATAACAGCATTTATATTACTGCAAAACATAATCTTTCTGCCAATAGGACCCTACATACGTTACAAGAAATAAATCTTAGTTAATGTTTAATACTCAGTATATATACGTAATTTTAGTGACTACATCTGCACCAAAACATCACAGAGATAATAAGAAAAAGAAATGGTCTGTTTTACTATTTAAAACATGCTCATTATAAAAGTCGTAATTATTCCCACCATGCAAACGACAAAGAGTTGAAAATTTCTGCCTTTCACTGCCATTACAGCACCACTTCACCAGATTACCTGTTTGCTAATCCTGGTAGTCCAGAGGAATGCTCAGAGCCAACACTGCTGATAAGGAAGAAACATTGGGATAACAACTAAAGTGTATTTAGTCTGAAAAAATCACTGTGCCCAGCTCACTGTGATTGAGGTAATGTTCTTGGTTCCACACAATTGTGCAACATTTCTAGATCTTACACACACACACAAAAATATACTGGCAGCTTGCAGCACTCTTTGTGATACAGGTCATTGAGTCAACTGCAATTAATGAAAAATTATGCACTCATTCTGCTGGGATTTACACCCAAGAACATGGCAATGAATCCACTCTCAGCACCAGTGGATAACAGGTATTGTTTGGCAGGCCTTTGAAGGAGAGGAGTTAAAAATCATGCTTTTTCCACACACTACCTACTTTTAACTTCCATTATATTAATCAGCATATGAGCAACCCACAGCAGAGAGAAAATTCAAAGCTTCAGTTTCTCAAAAAAGTTACCCAAAAAAACATAGGCTGAAAAATTAATGAAGTGAATATGAAAACTGATGTTGAACTGGAACACCACATACTATTAAGACTGAAATGTTAAAATAAAAATTTGTTTGAAATTAATTTTCTGTTCCTCTCTTTTTCCCACATTTTTACAAATTTACAGATTTCAACATTAGTATGACCAATACATTTTCCTTTAAACTTATATATTAGATTGGTTATAACTGAAAAATCAGAATAATTTCACCTCCTCTTCTGGCATTTGAAAAACAGTTTTAGAGGAGATGGGGCTGTTAGTAAACATTATTTCTTGTTTAGACTTTTAAAGTTAACAAGCTCAGGTGTTCAAGCATTATTTAGACAAAATGGGAGATCCAACATCACATTGACAAGTACTGTGACGAACTGATCTTCAGAACAGAGCTTCATTAGACAGACACTGTGTGGGATAGTCCTTTTTCAGCTACTTAAGGTAAAATTTGACAATTTGACAAATTAAGGTAAAATTTGACACTGACAAACAACCATACTGATACTGTCAAATGTATCAGCAGACTATCGATCACAAGCTGCTCATCTATGAGAAGAAATTTGGCAAGATATGAAAGGTTCTAAACTTGTTATCAAAGGTCACTTGAAGTTGCTCAGATATCACCCATTATCACAATCACACCCATTTTTCTAGTCATCCTGACAGCAACAGTAGCCCAAAGCACTAATCCTCTCTCCTCCCACTGATGCTTAGCTGGCCAAACAACTCATGTTGAAGGAGGTTCTCTCAACAGCAATCGGAGGCACATACCTTAGAAGCTCAATTATTTTAGAGCTTTGTGGAGACTTAAAAATGGAACTAGAGGAAGCTCCAAATGGATCTCAATACAAGAGGGGTGAAATTAGATTATTTTTAAGGTCTCTTCCAACCTAAACCAGTCTGTAATTCCATGAAAAGTGGTTTCTTCTGTGATGGAAAAACGACTGTGCATTTTTCTACACTGCAATCGCCCTGGACCTTTGGTCTCCCAAGGTCATAATAGACAGAGCTCAGCTATCTCTTGTCCCTACCCATGGTCTCAACTTGGACTTGCAGCCAACACAGGTCTTAACAGAGCAAATGAAACTTCAGAGTAAACTCTGGTTTATTTTGAATAACTGCTCTTCAAAGACTGTGGATGAACGTCCAAGAAAATGGTCAGAGATTTTACAATTTTCAGAGAGAGGTGCGGCATCACCTCTTGACTACAATTAATGTAACAACCACCTAAGCACTGTAGTCCTTCTTTCATCAAGACAGCAACAATTGAAGGAAATAGTAAACACAAATTTTGAGCAGCTACTACACACAATTTACATTGATGACCCAATAGCATTTGAGTCACCTTTCTGACCTCTTGCTTTCCCAATCATCAGGAAAGGCTTATTTAGCCGAAAAAACATTCCATTTTGTTCTCAGCTCCTAGAAAAAAAATGACTAAAATTTGAAGTTTTCCCATGCTTCTGCAACATAATGCTCTTTCTAAAGGTACACTGACAAACTAAACTTTTTAAAGGTATGTGGATAAACTTTCCAACTACTTATTTCTCACAGGACTACAGCAAATCTGCAGCAAGACCTATGTCTCAAATTCCATTTAAAGAAGAAATTTACACATTTCCTCTCACTTTTCCAAGTACAAGGATCTTGGGAACTGTAAATTTTACCCAGTTATCTCAGAAAAAAAAATCAACAAACATTTATTGACAAAATAAGAATGCAAAAATAGGGAGGATACTTTATATAAACACAAGATCAGTAATGCAGTAATTAAGTAAGGAGATTAATCTGTGTAAGAAGAGGAAATGGAATAGATTCAAGAGACGGTTCTGAATTTCTCTTCTCAGTAAGGCAGCAAGACAGGATGGCTGTATCACAATACTGAAAAATATTCTCCTATAAGCATTTAAGTAGTATTTTAGATTTTTAGCAATTATTGGTGAATCAGACTGGACTGGATTTTCTGTTGCAAATCAAATTTCAAATAAGGACTAAGCACTGAAAAGAAAATCAACTGTTTTACCTTTCATGTCATTTCAGATCAAAGTGCCATTTGTAGTAAATGGGAATCCTTCAGTTAGCCAGCAGTTAGGATTTCAGCGGGCTTTGAATGAGAATATCAAAAGTTGTTACTGCAGTGTTAGAATTATTTCAATTACCAAGCACTGCCTGAAAGAAATCAAGGTAAAACGTACTTCTTCAAAAACAAGAAAGAACTATACCAAGACAACGTGAAATAAACAACTTGTTCCACGTGCTTTTAAATGCACTAATAAAGTTTTGTATGCTCAGCTAAAGAAAAACACACCTGGCAATTATAACATCTGACTGGTTTTCAGGATAACATCTTTGTAGCATTTATTTCTTCAGCAAGGTATGGTCTCAAAACTGCAACAACACAGGGCATTGGTGAAGTCCTCATCCTGCTGCTGTAGAGATGCAACCAAACTAGCTGAGAGACAGAAACGGAATTATTGTTTTAGCCAAGGCTCTTCGGCAGGTCTAACAATCCACATGGAGAAGGGAGTGCCTTGCAAAAGCATAATGAAAGAGGGTCAAGCTAACTCAAATTACCTTCCATTTGCTACAGGCTAAGAGCATACACATGAACAATTACTGTGAATCAGACACCACGTATCAGCTGACATATGGTAACCTGTCATCGTACAATAACCTGTCCAAATACAAAGACAGCTTGAAATTTAGACCTGCTGTAAAGCAACAACTCTCCCCTATTCAGAAAGCAAGACACTAACCCTGGAACCTTTACTTCTGGATGTGTAAGCTGAAAACAAGCAACAGAAGAGAATCCACAAATGAGAGCCCTTAAGGTAAATAGGCTGTTTCCAAATACTACAAACTGGGATTACCAAAAGGAAATAGTTACTGTAACGTGACCTATTCATGCTAACCAGTCCTTCAGTATAAAAGCATGCACACAGCACGATGACCAAGAGACTGCAAATTCAGCTCTTCTGCTGGTGTGGACATGGTTATTTAAAATAAGTATAGGAATTCCAAGTACAGTTGTTGATTTGGCCTTGTTGCCATGTAGTGGCATTTCAAAATAGGACAAAACCCAAAGCTTTTGTTTCCCAACCTCATTCCCAGGAGTGCTTATTTCTCTATGTTGTGTGTACCTACCAAGCTCAGTGCAGTCAACCAGCACTGAAAAAGTGAGGAAAAGCTTTATATGCTCTACCAGCACTAGACTGGCACTCACGTGGTACAGCTGAATCAGTTTTTTGGAACACAGAACTGGCTGCGCAAGAAGATAAACACTACTAATATTTTGATACTGGAATACCAGTGATATCCAGCCTATACGGGAAACATATCTATACAGGCTTCTGTGGAATAACCTACATTGAATCAAGGTACAGCTGCTCAACAGAAACAAACCTTGGAGGCTGAGTGACAAGGTTTCCAGGCAGAGCTCAACTATGCAGCAGTCTGAGCTCCCAGAACAAAGCAGTGCCTGAACTCTCACACAGAAGACATCTGAGGGACCTGACAAACCTGGCAACGGAATGGAAACTGCAGGTTTCTGTTACAACGAACAGTAGGTTTCATTGTGTATCCCACAGAACAGAGCAGAGCACAGAGCCCCAGCAGCATTGCAACAGCTCCTCTCAAATACACAGGACTGGCACCAGGCACTGGGGAAGGCTCCGATCCCACATGACAGCCAAGCTGATCTAAGGGTGACCTGCGAGGGCAAGGGCCAGTCCCACCGATCACCGATTCTCTTACGCACTCACCCAACCCGGCAGTTAGATAGCTCCAACAGCTAAACCAGCAGGTTACTACTCAGACTGTTTTGGAGGCTTGGTTTCTGTGGTGATATGGTACAGGGAGCTAAGGGTATCAAAGCAAGGCAAAGGCTGAGCATGGAGTTAGAAGCAAGAGAATAAGGACAACCCCTTTCTCTAAAAAATAGGCTCCACAATTACTTAGTTCTGTTGGAAAAATGCAACTAAAGGAAGTATCTCAGAGCAGAGCAAAAAAATAGTCCCCAAAAGCCTACTGAAAGAACTCAAGGTTTTATAAATATTCACTGCTTGTTTATCCCAGCTTTTACCCACAAATGAATAATAATTTTAAGAACAGGGAGCAATATAATCAGGAAAACTGTTATTGAGAAGAACCACAGTAACCACTATTCAAGTTATCTTTTAAGAAGGACTCCAGATTCATACTTTAATACATCAAGAAAAGTTCATTAAACTTTCTAACAGGAAGTACAATGCACATAATACAAGATGCCTCTAGAGCATCTTCTTTACTTAGGAAGCTACATCTAGAACTTAATCTTTTCTTCTACAAGAATTTAAAAGCAATAATATACTACACAAGCAAAATTTTGATGTTCTGTAATTTCACTGCATGTTTTAATTTGCTTTCTTTCCCTCCCCCCTCTTTGGCCCCCATTTTACAAGAACTGAAGGACTCAGACTAAAAGCCTAGATTATATTCAGATACTACAGCTTAGTACCACGAGCAAGAATCACCAAGCTTCGTTCCCCTTCCAATCCAAGTGCTGAATATAGAAATATCATACAAATAAGAAACAAAAAGAAATACTTAATAATCTGAAAACATGAAAATATTAGGTAATGATGAACTCAACTGAACAAACCTTTCATTTTCTCAATTCCTATTAGTTCAGTCAGTTCACCTCTGATCTTGTTATCCGTATGTTGCACAGCTCTGGTTTAATTTTCCTATTGCATCTGTTGTAACGTATGAGACTAAATATATTTAATAATTAATTTATACAACTTAGAAACCTTACAGAAGCACACTACCTCCTCCTAGCAGACCAAGCAGTTTACAGGCACAGCATGCAAGAGGACGTTTAAGTGTTGCCACCGGTGACGAAGGTTAACAAAGCACCTAGTGCATCCTCCTTCCATTACCCCAGGGACCCAGAGGAGAGTGTGGGCTAGAGTTGTCCTGGCTGCACTGGCAGCCCCTGAGATGCCACCCCTGTGTGCGTGTGCTCACTGTGCTGAGCACACACATGGCACAGCAGCAGCTCTGCACAGGCGCTGCACATTCAGCACTGGCGAGGCGCACCAGGCTCACCACGCTGCTGAGGGAGCTGCTAGCCATGGAAAACACGCTGCCAGCCTGACCTTCCCAGGCAGCTGCTGGGCTGACAGAGCACTCCTAGTGCTCCAGTTTTGTACATATACATCAAAGCTTCATACCCAATGCACAGAATGTTTATTTATGCTCAACAAGTGAGATGCTTCATGCCTGCACACCTGCAGGAACAGCTTGACATACATTGCACACCTTTGGTCTACTCTGTAACTGTGATTGTCCCAGGAAGCACCAAAGCAAAGAGCACAGAGGATAACCTTCTCCCAAAGCATAAAGATATAAAACAGACCTGTTTTATGGAGGAGGCTTCATTATCTCTTAAATCACTAGGCTCCAAGTTTTTGTAACACAGAAAGTTAAAAAAGATTTGGCACTTCTTGGAAACTAGAACTGATGTTAATAGTCTTATGATTGACTAAAATATATCAAAACTATAGGCAATGAACACTACCATGTATGCCAAGAACAAATACACTTGATTTTTATCTTTCCAAATGAAACAGAAAACCTTTAGCATAGGTTTAGGCACTTGTCCTACATGCAGGACAACAAAGGTACACAGATACTCCTTTGTACTTGTCATGCAGAATGAAGCTTTGGGAAACAGAAGTTGTATTTGAAGAACCAAGTTTATAGACTCTGAACTTTTATCTCTAAGGTAGACTTTGAAACTTTTCATTGCAAAAACAAGAACTATATTTCCATATGTGAATATATCTTTTCCCAGCCCATGACTCACTTTCAAGGAAGAGAGAAAAGCTTTAACCATTTTTCTTTCTATGTGGAGCAACCGATGCCCGATTTGACTTCTCAACCTAAGGGATGATCCTACAAAACTGAAACCCATTTAGGTGCTTTGATGCAAGTCTGTGCATTTGCTTCAGAATAAGAGTAATCTAATTCAGTTACTATTCCTGCCCTGCACTCACCAAATAAGCCTTTTGGTGCACATACTAAAAAAAAAAATTATATATAATCATGCATATGCTTACACACATACACTTCAAACTGAGCCAAATAAAGACTCCTTACCTTTCCTAAGATATTTATCTTAACATTACAAAATTCAAACGTTGTGAGCAAGGACTGTACTGGAGCTTAGTTTCTACATGTTTGTTGTACAGAGCCTAACCTACTCTTTTCCCCAGTACGTCAAGCCCTCGTGTCCCCTAAACAGACAAATGACTAATTCAATTACCTTGTGTGCTGACAGGCCAGCTGGTTGCTCCTTCTTGGCATGGCTAGAGAGAGTGAGTTATAAATGTCTTTCCCTCATTGTCTTTGTCCTCTGCCCAGCCAATAGTTTCCACAAAACTTAACTTCACATCCCTTTGTCAGCTTTGGTTGAAACGAGCTAACAAGTTCAGAAGTTGTAGAATGACACACAGACTGTATGGTGTATGTATCTCGTTTTCACTGCAAAATAGATTGGCGCTAGGAGGGGAAGCAAAGTTGCAAGGTAGGTTTACAGGCTGCATGTATTAAACTTGCCTCAGCTCCAAAAGTATTGACCCAGCTTAACCCAATCTAAATTGGAGCTGCCACAGTCCCACCACACCCACAGGCGTTCAGTGTTATCCCTTCCCTTGTAGCAGCACTCGTGCCAAAAATCAACCTGGGAAAAAAAAAAAGCAGTTAGCGTTTGGCGCAGGCAGCTCCGGAGCCAGCTCCCTGCCTTGTCACATGGTCACCGCCACCACGTAACAGCAGCGCGCAGCTCTGTGGCAGATGCAGCTGGGCACTTAGCACACGGGAGCCGACCCCAAGAGCACTTAATTCTAGGCATGCAGCTCAGAACCTCATTAGTACTACATCCAGTGATGTGCTGGTTTTACGGAGGCACATACGCACTAATGGAGTTATTGAGAAGAACAGAAACAAGAAAAAAATAATCATATGATAGCTCTGAGGTTGACAATTTCAGCTGCATTCTGGACAAGATCTTCTGGTCTTTTAAAATAAATGTCTAACCTTGTCTTCTTCCTAAAACTAACCAAACCTATATGCTCAAGGAAGAAAAAGCAGCACTATAAGCAAACATGGGAATATTTAATCATAAACATTACCAAGTCCAGATTTCCATTTGGGTAGACCTTTGTCCTAGAGAAAATAAAAGGACACATCTATTCTATATCTTTCATGCAGAACTGCAAAACCACTGAATAAACCACTGGTAACCCCACTGGTGATTAGGGAGAGATCAGAAGAGAGAAGGTAAAACAGAAGTGGCATAGGGTAGCCAGAGTGGCTAATTTAGATGGAGGGAGGTGTGAACAGCAGAGCATAAGGCAAAACATCTTGGAAGTGTATCCTGGTGGCATTTTATCTTGGCTGTATAACGCAGTGAGTCTGGGGCACAAAATATTTTTATCTGCCATCATTTATGATCTCCCTTCTCCACTAACCAGAACACAGGTACACAGGTATTGTTCATCTATGTATAATACAGACAGCATGGTTATATATTCATTAGATTTGTTTTTTCATTAACATAAAATGAGAATCACTTCAGTATAAAACACAGCTTTGTAGGATTTTTAAATTCTTATAAGGAACCTTTGAGGAAGGATTTTTATAAAAGCATTTTTCCCAGTGATCTATTTATTAACAATAGGCATCATAACTTGATTTTTACCCAGTAGTGAACATGTAACAGCTGTTACTCAGTTGTAAAACACTGTCTACTTACGCAGCATTAAATAATAAATAAAGCTCAAGACCTAGTACATGTTTTACTAAGCAATCTAATGATATGAAACAAGAAGTTCCAAAGATTAACTGAGCTGTATTATCAACTCTGTCCCATGATATCTGTGGTTATAAGTACAGAGCTGTAATATGAAGGAGGAAAGAAATTAACAGTAACAAAAAATAATTTCTGTTCCATCACAGCTGCACTCACAGTATCCAGTAAGAGGGTTTTTTAAACAAATTTAAATCTGAGTTCAATAGAAACCCTTTCTTAATAACTTATACTAATTCCTTTCTACAGCCTTTTCTAGGATGACCTACATTGCTCGGGAATAAAGGTGAAAGAAGTCAACACTGATTTGCATGGTATAGTCTAACCCCAGTATATTGGCTTTTAATTTAGTAGCATTATTCATCAGCCTTTACTGCAATAGCCCTGCACAAAGCGATCAAAGTCACAGGTAAAACTGAAATTACTTTCCAAATACAGTGGATCAGACCTTGCAAATCCTGAGACAGAAGACAAGCTGCACTAGAGAAACCCCAAATGTAGATGGAACATTACTGACAAAAAAAACCTTAATGCTGTTGATACATTTTTGGGCAAGTGAGATCTAGCACTACTGACCTTCAAAAATGCAAGGAAAAAGGTAGCAGTGATGCACATGGAACAGTAATTTCCACAAACCGTGGAATTTGATTTTGTTATAATTTCATCACCACTAAGTGGTCAACAGCACAGAACAATGTAAAAAAGAAAAAAAAAATTAGGTGAATCCACAGTTCCAGAAATGTCAGAGTAATACAAACACACTGCAGCCTCACATTTTTAATAGAGGAAGTTTCTGCCTGTATCTTCAGCAAATTAGTAACATATGAACAGTGGCAGTCTAATGTAAAACTGAATAATCACTGCATTTAATCCATAAGCACATCATTCTGGATACCTTTTATAAATTGTATTTTCATCTGTTTAAAATGCAAAGTAAGCCATGGGGTTGAAAAAATCCCCTATATTCTGCATATGGAACATCGATGATGAAAACCCTCAGTGCATGTCTTTGAGAGGAAGAAGTTCTTTTTTTGTTGTTGTTTTTCTTTATTTTCTGTGTTGTTTTTCTTTTAAATGTCAGTATACCAGAGAAGTAATTTTAATCATATAATTACTGAAGATTTTGGAAGGTTTACACAAGACCCATAATTGGGCATAAGACATCACATCCTCTGGTTATATACACAGCAATCTGGTCTGGGTAACATTCTTTGCTCTGACCAATGTGTGCGAGGGGGGGCGGGGGAAGGAAGGGGAGGGAGGGGAGGGAGAGGAATGGAGAATTAAAAATACTTCCTCAGATTAAATTTTCTTTACTTCATCTACTTAAAATGTTCTGATTGCATAAAATGCACTAAAGTATTTATCGCGACGCATCTCCGTAGTTAAAATACCTTGTTCTCAATGTGATATCCTAGATATTCAAACAAAAGACATTCAGCTGACAATGAAGCCTTCTTTTTTTTTTTTTTTTTTAATTTTAAAAAGGCATTTGTACACCTAAGACCGCACCGCGGATCAGTCTCCTTTATCACGCCGGAGTTGTGACAGGTAATGCATAAAAAATTAAAATCCAATCCACCAGATAAGACATGCAAAATGTCTCCTCCAATCCCACCCCCATCTCGCCTTCAAAAAAAAAAAAAAGCACAGCCACCACCAGCCCTGAACAGTCGGAGCACACGCACAGTGGCACCCCCAGAGCCACCGCTGGGGCGACAGCGACAGGCCCGAGGGGCCGCCACCCCCGAGCCCCCTGCACCCCGCTCTGGGCTCCATGAGGGGCGAATCCCACCTCGCCGCTTCCTCATGCCCTCACACAATGGTGCTTTCCCCCATTAGCTCCGAATTGTCAACATTTTCACGCTAGGCCCCGGCCGGGCAGGGCTGAGGCGCAGGCGGCCCGAGCCCCCGCTCCGCTCCGGGGCCGCGGGGGCGGTGTGGCCGGGGGGGATCAATGGCTGATGGGCCGCGGCCCCCCCGCCGGCGCTGGAGCCGGAGCCCAAACTGCGCAGCAGGCGCGGCGCGGCGGGCCCGGCCCCGCGGAGCCTCGGCCAGACCTGGAGCCGCCGCCCCCGGACACCATTTCGGGGAAGGTGCCACCGCAAGCCGCCCGCCACCACCGCCTCCCCCCACCCCGCAGCCCCCCGGGCGCTCTCCCCCCGCGCCCCTCAGGGGCCCGGCCCGCCGCTCCCCGCGGGGAGGCACCAGTGTTCCCGGGGGGCGAGGGCGCCTCGCCCGCTCGCCGTCCCCAGGGACGGGGCGGGGGTTCGGGGGGGTGTCTCGTCCCGAGGGGCCGCGGGCGATCGGCTCCCCCCTCCCCGGCCGGGGAAGGGGCCGAGCCCCCGCCTCCCCCCGAGCCGGGGCAGAGCCCGAGCCAAACAAAGCGCGGCCTGAGCGGGAGCCAAGGGTGAAGCAGCCTGGGCTTTTCCTGCCGGTCCCCGCGCAGGGCGGGCCCCGAGCCCGGCTTACCCCGATCCCCGGCGGCGGCGGCGGCGTTGTTCCTCTCCTGCTGCTGCTGCTGCACCGGGCGCGGCCTGGACACTCGCCTGGGTCTCCTGTTGGCGGCTCGGACCGAGTTCATTTGCCGGCTCGTGTGGGCGGCGGGAGGGGAGGGGGGGGAATCCTCCGGCAACCGGTGCCTCGGCGGGGACGAGGGCGCTTGGAGGGAGCCCCGGGGCGGCCGCCTCGCAGGCGCGGGCAGCAGGGAAGGGCGGGGGGGAAATCTCCGGGCGCGAGTCCCGCCGCCGCCGCTGCCGGCTCGCTCGAAGGCAGAGGAGCCGCCGGCTCTCCCAGCGCTGCTGTGGGGGACGATGGCGCCGCGCCCCCCCGTCCCGGCCCCGGCGATCCCGCGGTCCTGCCCGGCTCAGGCCCGTCGCTGCTCCGTGGCAGGAGGAGCCATTGACACCGCCAGGGACGCGCTCGCGAGCGGGCGGCCGTTGGGCGGCCGCGCTCCGCCAATCGCCGCGCCCCACACAAACGGCTGGCCCCGGTGCGGCCAATCCGCGCTGCCGTACTATCGGTGCGCAGGCTGGGGAGGGGCGGGCGGGCGGCGCGGCGCGGGGTGGGGCGGCGCGGTGCCGATAAAAGGCCGGGGCCGCGCGTGCGAGGCGGCAATGGCGGCGCCCGGGCCTGGCTGTGGCGGCGGTGCCCGTGAGGAGCCGGGCTCGGGGCAGCCCGGAAGCTGCTGGGCTCGCTGGCGGCAGACGGGCAGCGGAGGGGCCCGGCAGGCTCCGCTCAGGCCGTGTGTGATGAGGGAGAGAGGGCGGGCGTCTGGCGACGGTGCCTTGTTGTGGTGCCGTGCGCCTTGGTAACCCTGCCTAGGCTGGGATTAGCCGTGCTGTGGGTGCCGGCTCGTTTCGGTTTCCTGACTGGTTGGTAACCATTTTTTCCCTCTGGATTTGTGTATATTCCTTGGCCTTGGCTCTCGTCTTTGTGCTATCTTTTCTTAATACAACGAGAATGCTCTTTTTTGGGGGGGCTTTAGACAAGTGTATGAGGCTTTCCCTCCTTTATTGTATGTGTTGTGTTGGTGCTCAGCTGATGGCCTCAGAGCGGGGGAAAAAATTAAACGAAGCTACTGTGGTCTTTTTCCTTTTCAGGAGTCACTTAATAAAATGGATGGCACAATACAAGCAGTAAGGAAGAGATCTTCTCTTTGTAGGGTTGCTCAGGAATCTGCTTCTAATGCTGTGAAGGTGGGTTTGTGTGGAGTCCTACTTAAACTAAGCTCTGGGAGCTTCTGGAACCAGGGCCCTTGTCTATGCCTGAAAAGCAAAAGAGTGTTGTCTGGTATAGAATATGAATAAATGATGGTAATTAAAAACACATTAGGTAGGAGCTTGTTTCAAGCTGACAAATGAAGGTATAATATAGTTAAAGGAAATGACAGCTTTTAAAAAGAAAAAAGCTTCAAAAACATTTATACTTGTGATTCTAAAGGAAATGAGAGTGAAATTCTAACTGTCATTTCATATTAGAGCAAATATAAATATGTGAGAGATCTCAGTAGTTGTTAAGGAGCACTTTTTAGACTTACCATTTTGTTGCCTTTAAGAATGACTGGAGAAACAGTGGAGGATGTTTTTCATGTCCAAGGGAAGTAATCCTTGCCAACTTCTCTTATATTAGGGCTCGAAATCATTAAGTTAAACTCCTGTGAGAAGAACTTTGTAGGGAAAAATAATATAAACATCAGTCTGTTGGGGGCCAGTTTCTGTCATAACAATTACCAGGCTACTGTACTGAACGTTCTGTAGAGTTACATAATTACATGTAAATATCATTAAATATCTTTATTTTTGGTAGTAGCACTGTAAAACTGCTTTAAGTCTTGAATTGGAAAAATAACCCTACTCGAGTATTGTGCTGAATTTACTGTGTCATGGTTAAGGATTTTTTTCCCCCTCATTGGAAACCTCTCATCTTTTAACTGGAGTATTTAGATTGTTTGACTCTATTCCTGTTCTAGTTCTGCTCTTCACCAAGCAAATTCTTGGTGTCACAAGATTAGCTGAAATTGTGCCATGTAAGTATACTCCAAATTTTTCATATTCTAAGTCTTTGAAAGCTTGTTCAAGGATGGATAGCAAGCTACTTTTCACATAGAGTCTTTAAGAATCTAAAGGTTCTGATACTAAAATAAAACTTTATTTAATCGAAGCAAACTCTAAACTTCCTTAAGAAGTCTTGAACTAGTTTGAAACTGAATGGTCTCTTGGCCTACAAAAACGCTTGCTGTAATTAGCTCCTTGAGGTCCAAGATGTGTTCTCACTGACAACCAAAATACATCGAGGGCAATCTATAGAAGTTACGCAGAAGTTCGGGATAAATGCTCCGAGTTGAAAAAATGAGAACCTCATGCTGAATAATACAGACTTGATTCAGTTACTCGATAAATTACTGGTGCAAAAAAAAGTGATTCCTGTAAGTACTCAGTGTTTGCTTACAAGGCATGGAGTAACGAAATACTTGTAGTGCTCGTCTGACATTCTTGGCTGTGCTTTAGAAAGCCAGACAGTAGAAAGCCTGAAAACTCATCAAAACATTATCAACTAAATATCTGTATCTCTTCTCATAGCTGTTAAATGTATCCTGTCTGGGACTTGATCATAATGTCAGGTTTGTTTGTCAGTCTTTAAAATGTTCTACAGCCATCCTGTGTCTCTATTGCTGCTGTAAAGCCTCTGAGAAGGAAAACACTATTCTGTGATGGAAATAGCACTGAAATTATTCATTTGGGCTTCATTGTATTGACCACTGTGGAGGTGCTTTAAGCCATCCTGTGTGGAGTGCTAATAAGCCATTCCTGAATGTGGGTGTGATTTATACTGGCAAGATAATTTTGCCTTTGTTGAGACAGCTTTTTCTTTATTTAAATTGGGAAGAGAGGGAATGGGAAGTGGGGCTAAACTGTACAGTGATCTTTTTGCATAATTGTCTACAATAGAAATGCTTGCTGGGCTGGTTATGTTGGCCACAAATCACCTTTTGGTGACCCTTGAACAGCCTCACATTATGAACAGAAGGGTGTAAGACCTGGGTGAAGAGCTTGCTTGGAGAATTTATAGCATAAGCAATTTGGACAGAGTTGTCTAGTGCTAGCTCATCATATTCAGACCATCTACTAAGCTGCACTGAACTTCAAATGTGTGTATTTAAATGTTAATGATAACCGGTTCTCTGTTTCTTCTTGAAGAGTTGGCTGCCGCTTTGAAGAGAGCACCTCCTGCATGGAGGAAGAGATGCCATAGTGCTTAGTGATAACAGTAACTTGTTAATTATGTGTTAACATAGAATAGTTAGAGATGAGGCAGCTTCATAGAGAAGTATAGTGCAAGTTGTCATAAAGGGGATTCCTATTTGTGAGGGTGATGTGCAGAGACAGAAGAGCAACTTTGAGTCAGCTGACTTTCTTTAAAGCGAAGACAATAAATATCAAGATAGTGAATCAGTGTTTCTTTTCTGGAATCTCAGAGTATTGCTGAGAGATTAGAGGTGGTGGGGTCACAGAATAAGCAGGATTGGGAAATTACTATGGGACAGTGTAAAATATTAAGTCAGCAAGGCTGATTGAGGCCAGGGTCATCTGCAGGAATCACCATTATTTTATTCTATTTAATGTATATGTCAGCTAGCAAACTGAAGAGCCTTGCTTCAGAGCCTGTTAGAAATGCTTTGAATGGGGAACAGATTCATTTAAGTTTTCATGATCCATCCTTACCCTGAAGATATGGGTGTTGCTTTAACAGTTGATCAAAGCAAGTCTAGGATAACAGATTTCAATGAATCTGTGAATTACTTCTAAAAAGTTCACAAAATATAAGGACAGAGTTCAACTTGTATGTGATGGCCTAAAACAGTCTTTAAAAATGTTCAGAAACAATAATTTTGAAAATTGGAAAGAAAAACCAACGAAACAACCACCCCCCACACTGAATTGCTAGCTTTTAATTAAGTGGCAATTGCAAAGTATTCTCCCTAGCTTTAGCTTCCTAATATTTGTGAGAGAACAAGAAATATTTTGAGAACACGGTTATAGTTTATTATACAAAGCCCACCACAGAGCCTTTAGCTACAGCTTGTAGATTTGAAAAGAAATACAAGGAGTCATTTTTTTTTATTGTGCTTTTGAATTGATTCAAGTGGTTTTGCAAAGGAACCATGTCTCTTCCTCTCTGTATGGATGAAAGTGAAGCAGAAAGGACTGAAAAATGACTTGTCCAAGAGCATTTCCAGGCTATTAACGGGGCTATGAACAAAATCCAGGGTACAGGAGTCCTTACCTAAGGCTTTCTCCACGGTGTCATGTTACTGCTTTCAGAAATAGAAGAATTTTGCCTATTATTTTGGACCATCTCATATGCTGCTAATATGTCCCTGGGCTAAAAATACTGCATTGGAGATTTGGGACTGACCCAGTGTGAATTTCTGACTTTTAGTGTGGAGGCAGAAAGCCCCAGAGCAGAATGATGTTTTGCTCTCCCCGGGAGGAATGCTCCTAGTCACTCCCTCGTTGTCATGGCTACTGTAAATTTGGTCCCGACATGCCTTTCTGTTCTATGTTAATCAATTGTGTCCCGTTGGCCCTTCCCGTCTTGTACCGCCCCTGAGCCCTCAGATGATTCGCTGTTGCTCTACCCCGCCCACCCCCAAGCTTTCCTATATCCACCCTGCTCACTGAAACCCTTGTTCCTGGATGCCTTCGTGGAGAGAAGAATAAGAATCTTTGCCTTGGATCACCAGATGCGGCTCCTGTCTCTCCCTCCTGCGCTGGCCGAAGCGGGGTTTTCCAGGGAGAGCTGAAATCACTCCTCTCCCTGAGCGGGCAAGGAGGGTGTGCCTGTGCCTCGAGGATGTCCTCCACAGAAGGTCACTCCACCACCGCCCCTGGGCCCGCCGCGACATTGTAGCTCTTTAAAATTAAGGGGTTGTTTCTCCTAAGATTGGAGAATGTGGGCCTTTCAGAAATAGCTTATGATGCCCATAACTGCTTGAACATGCTTGCTGTGCAGCTCAGAAATTCCAATGTCATTTTGTTGCAATGTCCCTGACCCTCAGTTCCTCTTAATTGTGTTTTACAACCCATCTCGTGCAGCTAGAATCTTCCCACTCTTGCAGAAAAAGACTCTTAAATCTCTCCTCCTTTTACCTAGAATCCACATCTCCTGCAATCCAGCTTGATGTTAGCTGACCTTCCTAGGTTGCCTTCTGGGTGAAAGTCTGTGGCTGGGATGTTTTCTGTTGCTATACCAACCTGGTTTTTGTGCTAAAAATAAAGACCTCAGGGTGGGGAATGTGTGTTGTTTCCTATAAGCTCACATGACTGTTACAACATATTTATCTAACATGTTAATTCTAATTCTGCCCTAACAAAAGTTCTCTGGAAGCATGAGTGGTACTTGAGTAATCATTAACTTTTTTAAATAAAAATAACTTCTAAAAAAAGTCTTGGCAGGATTGTGTCTGAGTTTTAAAGCATTATTAGCTGTCTTGGTCGAAATTTCATAGCTAGATAAATATCTACACCACTGCCTTCTGGATTTTTTTGGGAGTATGGAACTGTTTCAAGTATCCATTCTATATTTTCAGTCCATTTTTCCTGATGGTACCCAATGAAGTCTCCAAACTTGGTCCTCTCAACTGTACTGAATTTTTATGTTTTGGATAGTCTGATCTGATGCAAAGCTTCATTTTTAAAATTAATTAGAATAGATTGGGTATTAATCACAATTTTACAGATGATGAGATATTATTTTGATTTGGTGGTTCTCATTCACTCAAGGTTTGCTTCTTGCTGTTCGTTTTCAGACGTGCATGTACCGAGATCAAGTATGGGTTTCACTCAGCTTTTATCCTTGGAGCCTACTTTTGCATATTGCATCAGCAGTATGTGCACATAATGAGTCCTGTCTTTAGAGCTGGGGTTTTCTGCCCCCCAAATAAGGCTGATGTGGGTGTTATTTATACTGCCTTGGAGAGGATACAGCCTGAAGAGATCTTTCAACATAATGAATTGAGTTAGGTCCCAAATGAGAAATGTTTACAAGAAGTACATCCAATACTCCCAACTGGGAAAATCAATCGTTTAATACCAGGAGGCTGGAGTTACATGAGGGTCCAGCTCCAGATTTAGACCTTCCAAAGGAAAAGAATAGCTTCTTTATGAAATTTTTTGCTGACTAGGGGGTTGTTCTTCCCTAAAAGCATCTCAGTGGGATTCTCAGCTCCTCATTTTTACAAAGTACTTACATTCCCTAAAACTGGTCTATCACAGACCTAGAGGGGCAGGAGCAGTTAGGGACACTTTGCTTCATCTTTGTTGTGAACAGGTAAATGCGAAGTGAGTGTGAGGAATCCCAGTCTTCATTTTCAATGTGTCAAACAGTTGGCAGCATTGTAGAGCATCCAAAGGTGGTGGTTGTTTAAATGGGATTTGGGATCCCCATACAGAGAGGGGTCAGCAGTGAGAAGTGATGCTACTTTCAATCCTGAAGGCAGGAAGACAAAAGTAGTCTCACCATCAGCACATGAATACAACTGCCTTCACCTCAAATCTGGAGAGCAGGTGGCTGTGGGTTTTATCGGTAATGACAGTTTTAGCCCTAATAACAACTGTTTTTATTAACTGGTGGGAACAAATTCTTCATTGTAAAAAGAGATTACAGTTTTTCACTTTGTTGTGTGGGACACAGATGCCATTTTAAGTGTCCTGCTCCAAAGCTGTAGTATCCTTTTCTGCCATAAGAGTTCTCTCAGTATAGAAAGACTGAACCTGCCCAGGAAAAAAAAAGTGTAGCATATGGTGTCTTGCCAGGGCCTTCTCTAGTTTGAGCAGGTAGAAGAGAGGAATTTAGGTCCTTTTTCTCCATCTTGCTGTCTCAGGTGGGCCTCTTGGTTGTGCCCTATGTGATAAGTGGCGGTGAGGTCTAATTATTCTTACAATCAAGAAATATTTCATCAGAAAGCATTTTTGGATGCCCTGAAGAGTGTTTTGCAGTTAGGCTCCGAATTGCTGTTGCCTCTAAGAAGCAATCCTGCTCTTCACAGTCACATTTTTGCTGCCCTTCTGCTGTACCCTGTTCTGTCAACCAGCATTTCTGCAGCAGCACAGGCAGATCAAGGAAGTAAAATGACTGCAAAGTAATCCAGCTGAAGGCACAGCTGTTTTTCAGACATGTGCAATGGTAGTGCAGAAAAGTGGTGGGAAAGGATGGTCCTTCCATGAAGGAAGCTTGAGACAGATTGGCTCACTGTGATCCTGGAAGCATTCCTTTAGTATTTCCCTGGGCCTGTGGGTGAAAGTCATTCCTAATTAGATCTGTTTTGTTGGAATGCTCTCAGCCATAGTTGTGCTGCTGTAGGAGCTGTCTGGGCTCCTGCTGAAGCCCCACGTTCTGCTCTGTGGCTGAGCTGTGCATCCAGGCAGGTGGCAGCACGTACTTCAGACATGACCAACTAGGGAGCACGCAGCAAGCAGAGACCTCAAGCTACGCAAGGACTTCAAGCAGTTAATTTCTCTCTGTTGCCACGTGGTGGTGGTGTTGGTTGTTGCCATCAAGGAGCTTCAGACTTCTGCTGAGGGCACCTGACAGATAAGTTGGTAAGAAATGTCATACAGGCCAGTACCTATAGGTGACTTTCTCCAGTGCTGCATGGTTTGTCCAGTTAACCACATGTTTGCTTCAAATGGTGATATATTTGCTTCTCTTTATCCTCCATTTTCCATGTACACATTCCTACACCTCAGCAGGGTCAGCTAATCAGCAACAGGAGGTGTTTTCCTAGGAATAACTGACAAAACAGAATAGATTTTAAGGGTAGCATGCTGCAGGTATCCCCTTTTGAGTCTACTCGGTTGTCATCCTAGGTCATTCTAGATCTAGAAAGTTTTCCTTTTCCATCTTTATCACATCAAAGGCTTGGTTGTGATCTTTTTGATTCCCTAATAACCCACCTTCCATGGTGAATCCCTAATGTGTCAGGTTCTTATCATTATCTTATTTTATGCTGATAAGCAGACATGGAGGATAGATCATCCATTCAGAAGAATGTGTGTATAAATGAGATCAATGACACTGTAAAATCTTCTCCACAAACTCTCGGTGATGAGCATGAGTGTGATCTAGGCCTTAACAAAATTTATATAGTATATGTAAATGCACATTCACTGTCAGGATGGCTTACAGAACAACTGATTTAAATATGTTAAATAAAATCTGGTTTTCTTCCACTTGGCTGCGTCCAGTATACTACAAACTCAGATTTACTGAGTCACTGAGTTCCTGAGTCTTAAATCTTCTTGTTGCTTAAGTTTTTATGGCTTTTTCACAGCAAATCAGAAAAGAAAAATGTGAAATCAAGATTATCGTATATTTTCAAGTCTCAGCTAAGATGAGAAAGAAAGCTTGAGTAAGACTAGTGTAATACTCTAGAGAATTTTCCTTTTAGGAATTGGATAAAGGGAAGTGATGTCTCTATGCTGTTTTATGGAAACAGGTTACTGACTCACTGTAAGTTCATGTTCAACGTCAGTAGAGAAGCTGTTCCTCTAGAAGTTTATAAATGTTCAACCTTTATTGTTTGTTTTGTAATCTTTGTTTCTTAACAGCTGATCCTTGTCTTTGTTTTTTTATCAAACTGGTCATCTTATTACTGTGTGATTAAATGGATGACTTTGTCCTGTAAGCTGCTTGGCAAAACCAGGCATATTTTGATGCAAGTTGGGTTTTTTCAGATTCACATCTGTGTAGATGGCATTTCTTCTGTGAACCACTTTGGTTATGGACTAATTAATAGCTGTTCACAACAAAAAATGCAGTCAGGCATTTTACTTTTTTTTCTTTTTTAAGTGAGGCAGAAAACAACTGAGAAGAAAGAAAAGCATCAAATCTGATTTTCTCACTGTGCTCTGTTCCAGCATGGCATTAGGTGCAGTAGACAGTGTTGGGCAGTACTGGGCTGTGGCTGCTTGGTCCTGGAATTTTGCATAACTCTGAATATGTTTGGGTGGAAAGAAGAGGTGCAGCTCTCACAGTCACAGAGTTTCCACAGCCTGTGTGAGTATCTTGACAGGTCACTAGTTCTGTTGCACCACACTCTGCTGGGCTGTGTGTGTGCAGGGTTTCCATACTTGGCCTGTGAGGTGTGGAAAAAGGTGGCAGTCCAATTTATGAGTCAATTTTTGGAGGTGTGGAAGAGTAGTCAGTAAAGGAACATAAAAAGGTGAAGATTGGGGAATGGAATGTTTGGCGTTGGTTTTAATTAGAAACATCCTGTTCATCACTTATATGTGAGATAGAAAGGGAAGAATATCCATTACTACAGTACACTGAAAGAGGAAATATCTGTATTATAGTGAGAAATTCTAACTGAGCTGCCAAGTATAATGAATTAGAATACGTACCCTAGTCCAACAATATTTCCCTTATTGTAGTCTGTGAGTGAGAGTCAACTGGCATTCTATTTATTCCTAATATTTCTGCAACTGATGACTTTTGTCTAAAATCCAAAGTACTTCACTACTAACTCATGTTAAACTTAGCAATTACCTCTGTCAGCTAAAAGATGAATAAAGCTCAAGCAACAAACCTGTCTTTGATAAATCCAAGGCTTCTTGTACCTGTCCCCTCAAAAAGGTACAAAGATGGCACTCGTACTGTGACCTAGAAGGGTGACTGTGTAAATCAGAGGAGGAAGCTGATACTTGCAAGGCTCAGAGCTGAAGGTTCTTTTGGTTTTGTTTTTTTTGGGGGGGGGGGGAGTTTGTTCTTGCCAAGGAGGAACCAGCCAGTGAACTCCTCTGCTCACGTTCTCCTAGGTGTGGTGCTGTGACTGACGAGAGAGGTATGTGCTGCCCGTGACTGAAGCTAATCACCTAAAGTGACCTCTCCTCTCCCTTCCAGCACTGCAAACCAGCTGCACTGAGACTGTTACTTCAATTTTACTGGAAATTGGATTAAAATCTGCTGCTCCTGGATTTGGTTAATTAGCTGGCAGTACCTTTAAAACACTTTTTAGAGCATTTGGATGGTGATGTGAAACATGCATCATTTTCAGAGCTTAAAGCATACTAAATTAAGTGAAACTATCTGAGATCCTTCCACATGTCAAAGGGAAAAGTTTAAGAGGTTTAAATTCAGAGTGTTCTACATTACAGAACTTAACAAATATCAATATAAATGGGTCCAAGTAGTCCTTCCAACTGCCAGTTGATACAAAAGACTTTCCTCACATTCTAAGAATGTCTCTATGTAGACTGAGACTTCCTCTGAACCGAATTTTTTTGGTTTCTGATTAAAAAACGTGAAGAAATGTTGCAAAGTAGCTACTTTGAATTATTATAAAGCTGTCAAGTGTCATACCTAAAAATATTAGTAGAGAAAACTCTTAATTTCTAAAATTTTTCTAAAATACACAGAGACATTTTTTACATTATTCCATTCAGGTCATAAAATGTTGCAAGCTATTGTACTACAATGTAAGACATAAATTCTAAAAGAAAGTAAAGTGCAGGAAGTTTGAATGATGCATGACCATAAATTTGCTCATCTTTTATATAATGCCTTCTTGAGGTGCTTACAGTTTCAGTACATTAATTGTTCATAATGAATACTTCTGCATAAAACATTCAAAGGTAATTTTCTGAGGCCAAAGAATGACTAAATAGTTATTCACTAAAGAACAATCAATCTGTATCCAAAAGAACACTTGTGGGATGTGAACTAAACTGATGTAACAGGTAAAGAAGTTTGCATATAAAGAAGAATCTGCCCTTTTTATAGGTTTGATGCCCTAAAACAGAAGCCATAGAATGAGTATGGACTGGTGTAGGGGCAAAATCATTATTTTCTAATCATGTTTCATTGAAGGCAACGAAAAAAACCGGCTTTGGGCAAAATATCCATATCTCTTGTGGCAAAGATCCAGGAGGCAGCCACTTCTGCTGCAGGTAATATATGATCACTTTTGTGCTGTATCCTTCAGGATGGATAATGATAATCAGTGAAAATATCTTTAAAGAATATACTAAAATATCAGGAAAATAAATTAATTGATCTATCACACTTCTTCCAGGCAATAGATTTTAAACAACTTATCAAATATTTCTTGGCTGTTATACCCTCGCATAAGAGCTTTCCCTGGTTCATAAAGAAAATTAATGTGAAATCAATAATGGTATTTAAAAATTCACCAAACACTTCCCATCCAGTGAAAGTCTCACTTTCAGAGTGCTACTAATGCAACAGGCAGAGTGGGAAAACCACACAGACTTGACCTTAGTGGTTAAATCAGAAGCCTGTGCAGATGGAAAGTGCAGTGAAGAGATGCTTTCCAAAGCAACCAGGAGGACCTGCCTGCTTCCCCACAAGAACAAACCTCTAAAGAGCGCATCAGCTTGGAAAAGTCTTATTTGAAGATGCAGTTGAGATGCTATGCTGACTTCCTGCTAGAAGATACAAACTCGCCCGAACAGCAAGCAAAAGAAAAAAAAAAAAGGAAAAAAATCTCAAGGGTGAAAACCACAACAGAAGAACAGTAAAATAAGCTTCCTATAGCATCATACAACCCTGTGAGCTGCCAGATTTCAGACAATGAAGGGGGAACGTTTGATACTTCAGGTTGCTTTGTTCTACTCTTGCAGAAAACCTGGGATTGTTGTAGAAATGGGAAGAAACAAGCCATGAATTGGATTTGTATGTCAGTTTGTATTTTTAATAAAAGCACAAAGATGAGTAATACAGTACATGGTGATTTTGTGGCTGTATCTGCATTTAGGTGATTTTTCTGGTGAAGGAGATAGATTGTAGTTATCATTTATGTAAATAATACAATTGTACCCACAATTGCCACGTTTGATCTGTGAAAATAAATAGGATTTGTCAGTATCCCCTCTTTTCCCCCTTCCCCCCCAAGTGATTCAGAACTGTTTTCCAGCCTCTTGCACAGGGTTGTTCAGCAGGGGCAGAAGGTGAAGTGCAAGCCTGCAGAGGTGGTTTCTCCTGAAAGGCTGATGTACTGAGCTGCTGCCTCCAAGAGCAAATTTCAGAGTCTGCTCAGTATTGTCATCTCCACGCACCCATGCCCACGCTCTCTTGGTGGTATTCACAAAAATTTAAAAATATTTTATTACTGCTTCATTACTCACCGTAGTATCTAGTTTGGGGGGTTCATGTCTCACACCTCCCCAAGCCTTTTTATCTGACAGACTTAAAAATTCTTTTTTCTTTTTAGGTTAGAATTCAGATTCACGTGGAAGCACTTGACTCCCAAAGCTGTGTCTTCAACCAGCAGATAGGCGATGCGTGATAGAATTGGCAGAATTGCACTGCTCTGAGCACTTTTGGAGACATATGCTGCTTTTCCCACTCCTGGAAGTAGTCCCACAGATGTCTCATGATTATTCGCTTGAGTCATGGCTGCAGAGTTGACTTTTTGGTAGTTTGGATTCCCAGATTCCTACACTGCATGTTTAATAGCAGAGCAAATTCTGACTGAAGACCTGTCCGGTTGAACACAGGGAGGATGCGTTTAACCAAAACCCAATATTTTGAACGTACGCTAAATCGCCTCCTGGCTTAGAACGCTGTTTGGTGAAAATGAGACCTCTCCAAGGAGAAGGAGACGCCGAACGAGGCGAACAATCGGCGCTCGGCTGCGAGCCGAGGCTGGGAGCGCTCGTTGCGCTGTGCTCCGGGGGGACCTTTCCCGGCGCTGGGCACCAGGTGGCGCTGGCCCGCGCGCCGCCGCATTCCCGCTTGGCCGGCGTTTGTTTGGGAAAGGAAGCCCGGGAGCCGCAGAGCTGGACTGCGACATCTCCGGCCCGCTCGGGGCCGGAGCGAATTTTTAGAGCTAAATCACTCTGGGAAGTCTGGGTGTTATTTTCTTGGCTGGGGTTGCTGGAGCAACAATCGCCCATGTGCCGTTGCTGGTGGGCTCTTCTCTCGGGTTCGTGTGCTCCGTGAGAAACGTGGGAGCACCGAGCCTGTGCCTTGCTCTGGGCTGCCAGGCTTTCATGTCTAGTGTATCAACAGAACAGTGGCTTTTTACACCCCCAAACCCCAAGGCGTGCTCTTGCTGTTAAATGAATTATTACATGCTGCACAAATGTGAACAAATGTTAGGCAACCCGGGAAAACTTTAATTTGCTTTGTCTTTTAAAAAATTACATCAGTTTGGTTCATCGGGGTTGGTTTTTTTGTTTGGGTTTTTTTATGGAAAAGGAGAACAAATTCTGTCCACAACTGTCCTTTACAAAGTTCAGAATATTTCATATACCCTGCATAGGGAGATTTAAAGATTCATTGGATATTAGAGATGGCCTGAAAATGACAAACGTTTCTCAGTGTTTTCTCTAAATTTTCCACAAAGCTTCTGGAACATTTGAATCAATTGACTCTTCACTCAGTTCAGTTTTCAGACAAGGAAAGTTGTTCTCTTTTTCCTTGCTGATAGTATTTTTACAAGAAGTGAGGACAAGATCAGGCAGATGGAAGGAAAAAAAGTATGAAGGAATTGTAGCATCAAAATCTTTAAAACTGCATTATTGGTTTGAAAAAATGAAGACATTAGTTGTGTAGATTCTGCATCTAAATTACAGAATGTTTTTAAAATGCCTTTTAAAACTTAAATGCATTTTAGTTTTAAAAATTGCTGCATTTATGCAGAGGCAGCTGAGAATGAAAAGTATTGATAAGCTCTACTAAGCATTTTCATATGGAATCTATTTTCAGCCACATACCAGAGAATGTCTTTGTTATTTTTGTGAATGAGACCCTAATCTCGGAATGACTTTTCATTTATCAGAGCCTTTTAAGTCTGCTATTGTGTTTCCAGTCAGATCCTTTCCACTCACTTTTTTTTTCCTGTGTCAGCCTCTTACAAACTTCCATAGGGCAAAGTTCGCAGTTATTTTCCACAGGCACAAGGATTGCCCCTCTCAAGGGTGCACTTGGGCTTTATGCAGTGGAAGCCAAGCACAAATTAATGCCAGCTCTAATAGTTTGTGATTAAGTTTCTTGTGGTATATCATACTTAATAGCAAACCGTAAAATTTGTGATTTAACTTGTTAGCAATTCAAAAATTCGATTTGTTTCTTATGCTGTTTACTCAGATGAAATGGCTTAGTGGTTTTTTGCATCACCAGCATTGGTATTTGTGTCTTTATTGGTGTTCTTATTTAACATTGTGTTGGTTCCCACTTCAACTATAATTTAGTAATGTTCAAATACCATGTTATAGAAAAAAAAGTAAGTTTTGGCATCTGCAGTTGAGAAGTTGGAAAACGTGAGTGCAGTATGCCAAAAAAATCCCCAAAGAAATATAACTGACTCCTCTTAAAATTTCATTATTTTTCTGGGGTTTTTTTTCGGGGGAGGGGGAGGGTGAAGGGGAGGGGTAGATTACAAATGTTGTAGCACTTCAATTCCCTGAAATATATTTACTTTAACTTTTTCCAGGGTGTTCAAGTTTACTTCTGTGTATTTTATGGGCAAGAAACAGCTGAAATTCTCTCAAGGGGTTAAAAAAAGCACAAAACCTGTTTGTTCTCTCCTAATTCACTGTTACAGATTTTATGACTTCTGGTATCAAGAAGGATTTGTGTTCCTATCCTTGATAGAAACTTCCACCTCCACATCCTTCTGCAGTGAGGATGTGCCAGCTGTCAGCCTGGCTGCCATCTCCCACCCTCCTGCAGCTGAGCAGAGCTTTTAATCAGTCTTGGAAAGTGCTTTGCTGGCCCCTCCCTTCCGACAGAGGCTCATGTTCAGGCTGTAGCTCCTCTATGGAACGTGCTTTTTCATCCTTGCTGGGCATTCGCTGCCTTCAGCTGGAGCTGGGACCAGGAGTTGTTTGCCTGTGTCAGTGACCAGCTAAAAACAGGAGAGAGCAGAGGATGCATGGATCAGAGAAAGAGCCAAAGTTGGCCTGGTTAGTGGCCCAGATTGCTCAGTAATGGTTTATCAAGTGAAAAAATGAAAAAATAATCAATCAGGTTGTTCAAGTAACATAACTTTTCTGTTAGGGACAAAGAAACATCTGCATCACAAAATGCAAGTAATGGGCAAGAAATCTGGGGATTTGTGCAAGTTCTGTTTTGGAAGAGCCAGCCTGGTCAGAGTCAGCTCTCTGGGAAAGTGGCACCAAGGAATCAATGCAGATCAGCCAGGGCTCCAGAGGCTTGCAGCCAGCAGAGCCTGGCTTTGCTTGTCCTCCTGACACTGAGAGATGACCTTTGGCTGACTCCCTTCCCGTCTTTCCACGCTCTGGTCTCCTCCTGCCATTTGATTGCTTTGTGCTATTGAAGCTGAGCTCCTGGGCAGGGGGAGGCTGCAAGTTCCATTTATTGGGTGTGTGTGAAGCCCTCAGCACCACAGGGCTGAGCCCGGTGAGCATCTCCAGGGCGCTGCACCACCAGCAGCTGTTACCAGTAACAGCAAAAACAACGAGTTGTAATAGAGTGTGGAAAGGGGAATAGCTTGCCATTACCCATGTCAGGTTTAGAGAGTAAGAACTGCATTTGTCTTATTACTGATCAGCCTCTAGAGAACTGTAAGCATCTCCCTGGACAGGGATCCAGTTTCTGCCCTTACCCTGTATAACCTCATCCGTTTCAAAACAAGATTTAATGTCATTAGAGCAAATTGGCATTAAGGGAAGGGATTTTGTCCAAAGAATTCAGGTTGTCTTTACTTATTTTTCTAAGCACATGGCATCAGAAGGATCATTGAGAAATTTAACCAAACCAACCTTTCTTCACAGCTGTCTCAGGTCCAGCTTGTGTCACCGACCTTTTTGCTTATGCTGCTTTCCATTCTACTAAGTGGTAAACACCCTCTGAAACATCTCAACATCCTTCAGGATATTTTATACTCCCTTAGCTCGATCTCATCCAGGAACAAAGGACAGTTGTGTGGTCTGATTGTCAACTGGGAACTTGGTCAGCTCTCCTCGTATTTTCAAGATTGGTTATAGATTAATAATTCTTTGTGGTACTACTGTGAGTAAATTATAACTCAACAATGGACAAGTGTATACGGCTAGCATTTAGTTTTATGCATTTCCCTTCCTTTTCTGCAACATTTTTCTGTTCTGCAGTTTAGTATGGGTACCGACTTCCATGATAGATTGTGTCTGGAATTCCTGAAGGAGTGATTTAGGCTACCTTACTATCTTTGTCTTTCTTTGCACTTTAGTACTTTGAAATTTCTGCATTTCAAGAAAAGGAAGAAAATTCCCTCCAGTATGGAACTGCTTAGATTTCATTGGTAGTCTTTTAGTGTTTCAGTCAGTGCTTTGTCTCCTGGTAGGTACAACTCCTCTCTGAATATCTCTCTAAAGTCCTTCAGGATACCTTCTAAAAGAATGTGGAGTTAATATGACTTGCAAATTGTTTTAAGTGATTTGTTTATTGGGTAGCCCTGGCTCAGTTCATTCTCCTTGACAAAATGCAATCAGTTGCTTTGCATCATTCCTCATAAGCTACAGTTAGAGTCTTCTTTTGTTTTTCCAGAGAAGGATCTGAACCCTGACCCCAGCAGCGCTTTGAAGTCTTCCCTGACAGACAAAGATGAAGCCTGAGGTATCAAAATGTCCTGGGAGGGACGTGACCCTTCAGTGAACAGGGACCTGATGGAGTGGGCTTGTTGCACAGGGCTAGAGATGAGGAGGAGGATGACTCTGCATGGAAGTGTGGCTGCTCTGGAGCCCCTGTAATTGCAAATTGTAGCTGAAAGCAGGGGAGAAGCCAGGAGGATGTGAGGGCCAGTGTATAATTTCCTGGTGTCATTGCAGAAGACTAAGAAATATGCTTTAATGGGGAAAGAGGTTTTATCTTTGGATAAATACACACAGACATGCACTGTGTTTCTTGGATCTAAAAGAAAACGAGTTCAAGATTTCTACTATAGTATTTTGATTCCAAGAGAGACAGTGGCCTTGATAAGCAGTAAAGAAACAAGGCTTACTGTGATTCTTTCTTCCTGCAAAACTTTCAGCAGAAGAAATAGAAAGTATGGAAAGGCAAATAAGAGGTTGTGATACAGGAGAAGATTAATTCAGCTCTCATAGCAGATAAAGGTGTTCCCAAAGTTCAGGATATTCTTTTAGGAATGTCCCCACATAAAAACGAAGCGTCAGATGCCTTAACCAAACTAAATCAATCTTCACGACATGACATGTCTGTGAGCATTTAACATCCTTGGTGTAGCACCTTTGTAACTGTATTTTCCTATTGCATATATGTGTCCCAGGCATAAAAAGTTGAAGAGATAAACATTTCATCTTTATTGAAGTATAGGCTGTATGAAAGATGTTAAAAAAGGACCCTGGGACTTTTTTTTTCCAGGGAGCTAGAATACATGAGATAATGTCAGATATTAAAAAAAAAAAAAGTCTTATATTTGCAGTGAGAATATTTCAAGTGAAATGTTTCCATCTGAACCCAGGAAAAAAGACAGAGGAATGATAACAGCAGATTTCTTGTCAGAGATCAGCTGTCAGAATGAACAGATAATTCTTACTTAATGGCACCCAAAATAGAAATTCTCCAGATCAATCTGCACAGTCCCTATAAAAATAACAAAAACAGGAAAAAATGACTACTTAAATAATTGAGAGGTTTACAGTGACAAAATGCAAG